TCTGGATTTGGATGGTCCGAGGTTGATGGGGAGGAAGCTTTTGGAGAACCTAGGCGAATCGCCTGCAAAAAATGTGGTAACTTTCATGTCTGGATGCAAACAAAGAAATCAAAATCTCGAGCAAGATGGTGCCAGGTATTTCTTTTCTTCCTAAAATACCTTCTATACTTTTTACGTTGTCCTTCAAGCACATGACCCCGATTTCGATAACATGGTGTCTCTAATAATAAATTATTTATGTTTTTTGGAATATTGTCTAAAGGAATGCAGAGATTTTCATCAAGCAAAAGATGGAGATGGATGGGTTGTACAATCTTCACAGCCCTTCCTTTTCGGGTTATTGCAGAAGGTATTCACTTTCCAGTTTCCACCCCTCATCACATGCCGATACATTTCCTTTTCGTTTTTCTACATCCTTTTTTCAGCATATAATCGATTATACATTCTCTAGAAATACAGTTGAAAAATAAGAAGAATGAGAATTGCTTCTAAATACACAGCTAGTTACTTCCCCAAAATGAAATACAGTTTATGGTTGAGTTTTTTCGAGTTGATACTCTTAAGATTCGATTCTGTATGTTTACATTAATAGTTATTTCGTTATCGGTGTAGGTGGATGCTTCCGCTGCCTACGTCTGTGCCGATAGCAAGATATATAATGCTACTGAATGGTATATTTGTCAGGTAAAGCGATGTTTATAGTAGTATTTGGTTATTACAAACGAACCATACAAAGTATATGCTGGAAGTTCGACCCTAAATACATGTCAGAAACTGGTTAGTACGAAGATATCCGGAGCTGAATACAGTTCTAGAACGGGTTTTGCATGGAATTTTCATTCGAAACTTGCAATCTGCATCCTCGTCTAGACTCTTAACCTCGATTTTATTGCAGGGAATGAGATGTCCACCGAACACACATAAGCCTTGTTTTTACGTCAACACTAGTTTGGCATCCTAGCATAGTACCAGCAAGGGATCTAGTTCCGGACAGAGAGGCGGAAAAATACAGATGCCTAATCCGGAAGAAACCATGACAGCGGCAGAATTCTTGGAGTGGTTACAGAATGCAGTACAAGCAGGCATGTTTGACGATTTTCTGAGTAGCTCCTCCACGGAGAGGCCAGTCACTAAACCCGGAAGTGGCTCGAAGACTAGTGGTAGCAACACGGGTGGTGGTGGTGGTAGCTGTAGTGGAAACAAGAGGAAGAAGAAAGGAAAGAAACAATGGTAAACCGTCATCGAGTTGCTCGATGACGATGATGATTAGAAATCCCCCCGGGAAGCATAAATCATGCAGATTTTGTATAGCATTTTATCTTCGTCCTAACTTCTTATTTTTCGGTCAAATAAACAGATATGAAATAGATTGTCGAGGCTAGGCTTTGTTTCTTTTCCTCGTCTTTGAGTGGAAAGAGCAGCTGACAATAGCTTATAACAACGGGAGAGGTTTTGCTTTAAAGGTTTAATTATGGTTTTAGTCCCTTTATTATGTTAAAGTTGAACAATTTAACCCCTTCTATTTTTTATAATTTGGTCCCTCATATAATGTTTATAATTATGTTTTTAAAAATTATAACTATGTTTAATTATTTGTTTCAAAACTGGAAATCTCTGATAAAAATTTCTTAAAAAACTCTTTGGGGTGTTAAATTAAAAATTTATGTATAGTATAAGGGTCAAAATATATATTTAACCAATTAGACTGAAAATACGAGGTTCGATCTCATTGGTTTAAAATTTCACGATGTGCAAAAGGCTCCAACAGACCTGATCTATGTAACATACTATTATATTCGGTGACCTTTCTGTAATTTTAAAATATTTTAGGGGAAATCGAGGATTTTATTAAAGTGGGGGGATAGATCAATAATGTGCGAAACAACTCTCTCGAAGTGAATTCCCAATAGCGGAACAGAAGAACAAGCTAGTCTTTCACATCATATTCTCCGATCCTCTGGGTAAATCTTTGTCTTCGTTTTTTCCTTTGAATTTCTTGTTTATGATTGTAGTACACTGCTTTGTAATCGGAACCGGCTTCTAATTTATTTAAATTGTTTGTTTTTGAATGATTTCTCGATTATTAGATCTAATACGATCCCTAGGTTTCAATTATCTTGGATGTGAAATAAACACGTTGATTTTTCTTATTTTCTCTCTTAATTCGTGCTAATTAATTCAAAATTTGATATTCCATGTTCTTTTGAGTCAAATCTCTAGAAGCTGCCGCCCTCACTTCTCTTGCGTTATTGGAATAATAAAGTTTAGCTTCTTCTTTTTTTCCTCTTCAACATGCCTTATGAATTTGGATTATTTAGTTTCTATTGGTCGCTTCTTGAGCAAATCTCACTTTCCGATTTGTGTCTTCGAGTTGCTCCGAAAAACCTTGTTAATGTTCCTGTGAGATTTTGGGATTTGACGTTCCTATGCTTTGTTCCAAGTGATTGTGTTCCACTTCATTAGGTAATTGGCCTTGTGATAAGGCTGTACCGAGGGGGTGACAACTAGGGCATTTGCCCCGGTTGGCTCCTCGAAGCTCCTTCGATCCATAAACTTTAACTAATATAAAAGCTTTGGTTTTGGCCTTGCTGGTTTTTTTCCCCTTTAAAATTATCGAATTGGGATCTTTCATAGTTCGAATGATATTCATGGTTAACTTGTGTATCTTTTTTTCTTTCTTTCAAGAAAGTTGTAGACCACATAAAGAATACATTATGGCTGGACATAGTGATTCCAGTTCGTCTGAGAAGAAATCAAATGAAGCTATGAATGATGTACCAGTTTTTAGCGCAGAGAATATGCAAAATAACATGAAAGTTATATACTACAGGTTTGTTTTTCGTGTTTACAAGAATGCGAAATTATGCCCTGAAAGCCAATTTCTAAGTTCTGTTCTAATTTGCAGCCGAACATTTATGTCTATCATCGGAGGGGTTATTGCTGGGATTTTAGGATTCACAGGCTTTATGGGGTTTGTCTTTTATTTTCTTGTCATGACAATTACTTCAATTGGACTCATAGCAAGGGCAAAGTTCTCGGTTCATTCATACGTCGATAGCTGGAACAGGATTATACTTGATGGTTTCATGGGTGGACTTATGGTAAGCTTCTTTATGTTTCGAGCTACCCTACGTATTCCATGTTCTAAATTTCCATCAGCTAACAACGTTCTTTAAATTTTTGCAGTCATTCGTGCTATTCTGGACGTATCCTTTGTCTATCAATGCTACTTGGACACACACACACACCCACAGATGATAACACTCGATGTTGAACCCTAGTTGTTAAATTTTATTATTCGGCTTTGCCTCTGCCTGTTTTTCTTTAAATTTTTGCTAGTCATTCGTTCTTTAAATTTTTGCTACATCCTTTTTGCCTCTCGGTACTTTCTTTAACATCGATAGATTTGCCTATGACATTGTGCATATATTCTGAAGAAGAATCTGCAACACCTGACCGGCAAGAGAAGCCGTTTGGTCGCAACCGAATTCTATGGTGTTTTTGTTTTCGAGTCATGAAACCATTAACGGGTTTACCTTTTGATTGTTCTAGTCTTTTTTTGTACCATTTTCTTGTCCCAGATTGAATCAAACTTCGGGGGAGGTATTTACGTCTTAAATGTTGGTAGCGTTGTTGCTGATCTCTTTATTTTCTATAAAAAAATGCTTAAGAGCATAGTTGAGGTCTCCGAATTCACCATGTCAATATGGACCGAAGGCATTAGTCCGAAAATTTTAAATTCTCTTATAATTTAAACTTTCTTTTGTATTTTCAATTAATCTTTATAAATTCACCCTTTAATATAAAATTTTGTGTCTAGCCTGACCGTATCATCTTCGGACCGCTGTCGTGTCCATGCAAAGACAGTGAAAGACAGAGTATCGTGGGGTAGGCTGAAACACCTTTTTCAGTCATGGATGAATCATGCTACATCAATTCTGTTGGCACACGTCTCAGTTCAATCATTGAAATATTAGACTGTCTTGTGTTATTTATAGATTTCATGCTAGTCTTTTAATTTATATCCGAGGTTTACGTTTGAGGTTTGTGATTATTTCTCAGATGAGATCGATTCAGTTCGGTATCATTTTTAAGATGAGATTGGTTTGGTTCACTCATGTTTATTATATTTTTTAAACCGACCATTTTAATTCGAACATGATTAATTAAATTTACTTTATCAATAATATTGTCATAAAAGTTCAAATATGATCACTTATTTAAATAGAGCACGCCATTTTAATAATTGAATTCGTTCACTTGGAGGGTTGAACTTTCTCGGGGGATTGAACATCATAAAGGAGGATAACGATAAAGATAAGCTAATTACCTTTTCCCTCTCTGTCTGCATTATTGCATGTAAAAGGCTATCTTTTTCGATACCCGACAAAACTTTGTCCTTGTAATTAAATTAAAATTAAATTTAGGACGTAAAAGATCTAAATTACATCGTTTTTTTATATCTAATTTAGCATAATTTTCGAAATCAAGTTTTAGGTGGGGCATAATAAGTTATTTTGTTAAAATTTTAAATCTATTTAAGATTAGGTAAGTTTAAACCATTTTTTCTAAAACATATTGTACTTTTACTATATTATATTTAGATTGTCTAAATTATATGTTTAATTTACGATTATGAATATAAATATTCATTATTCCTTAGAATATTTCCTATTTTAAATGGAGTAAAATTATTTGTTTCTATAAAAAAACATCTCTAATTAGATATATGATGTCAACGAGTATTGGTACAAGTGGTTGGGATTTAAGAATTTAAGTTTGTAAGGTCAAGTTCGAATCCCACCACTGTCACTCTTGATGGGCAATCTGTAAAGTCCTATGTAAATCTCACTTGAGTCTTAGATATACCCTGACCCTGGATTGGAGAGTTACACTTGACCATATATATATATATATATATATATATATATATATATATATCTTTAAAAGTAATATTTGTGTCCAAACTCTGTTAAATATCTAGTATAACTCCGAACTTGATCGGATAATCCGGATACACCATAGCTTCGTTTATCTATTTAAAGATGAGGGTGGATGTGTACAAAAACACTAGAAGAATGAACAAAATCATCTGTTTTTCTCTTCACTGCCTCATATTTTCCCTCCCTTTCTCGCCCGTAAATTCTCGAGAAAATGGAGCAAGCTTGATCGACACAACTTGCAAAACAACGCCCTTTTACAACCTCTGCGTCTCGGTGCTCCAATCGGACCCTCACAGCTCGAGCGCCGACATACCGGGACTAGCCCAGATAGCAGCGAACCAAGTGAAAGCCAAAGCCACCGCAACGCTGAAACAGATCACGAATTTACTTAAGCAATCCAAAGATCAAAGCTTGAAGAAGGCTTTGCTCGACTGCGTCGATTATTACAACGCCATCGTCGAGTACGACGTTCCGACCGCCATCGATGCCGTCGTGAAAGGTGACCCTAAATTTGGGGTACAGGGTTTAAACGATGCGGCCAATGAAGCTCTGGCTTGTGAGAGGAGATTCGAGAAGCAGCCCAAGTTCCCGATTGAAGGTGATAATAAGGTGGTGCATGATCTTTCGGCTGTGGCTTCTTCCATCGTTGCCTTGTTGCTCTGAATCTGAGTGCCTTCATCTTTTCTTTTTCTTTTTTGGTTGTAATGGTGTAAGAAATTCTTCATGATCTAGCTTTATGTTTGGAATTTACAGCTTATGTATGCTTGCTACTGAGATGGTATATGGAAAGTTAAGAAATCAATTAAGTATTCATGAAAAAATTTGCACATATTTGAGTTACCATAATTTAGGGTAAATATTGCGTTTAATATTTAAATTATTAATTTTTTTAGTCGAGTATAATTTTACTCATCTCTAATAAGTGGTCGTTCTAAAAATTAAAATACGAGGTCCAAAATTTTAATATTTTATTCTAAAATTTTTTGAGTATACAAATTTATCATTTTTTCTATTTTCATTAACAAATTAAATTAAATTTAACAATTTTCTTAAAATAATTGATATGCAATAGCTTTCCATAGAATCATATACATCTGCCTCTGTCCCTAATGACCATCTATTTACTCGTTGACATTTATTGACCGACCATCGTCCTTATAATCACCCTAAACTAATCTACGATGATATTTTAATTTCATTCATGCTTTTAATCTTTATATTTTGCCTTTTGGTCCAAATTTCTAAAGTGTTATACGACTGTTATTTTCCTTACTTTTTCCTTATTTCTGATGCGAAACTGACTCAAGTAGAATCCCTTTGCACTTCTTTATACACCGACGAGCTCGTCGTTCCGGTACTTTGAAAAAGGAATCCCTTTTTGTTTTTTTTTTCTTTCTGCCATTTTGAGTTTGGGATATGGTTGTTAATGGTGAAAAAGGTGGGTTTTTTCAGGCGGTTGACGTGGCAAGCCTTGAGTAGCTATCTCATTTCGTTGATGATTCCTTTTCGGAACACTCTGCGGCGGCGTATCCGACCGGAATGTTATTGGAAAAGCCCAAGTTATCAGGCAACAAATTGCCTGAACCGGAAACACTAGTTAGGACTTGTTTTAAAACTCCGGTTCCGACCAAAGCAAGAAGCAAGAGCGGTCGAAGTGGTGGTCGGGTTTGGTCTCTTGCCTTTTCCCCTCGTACGTAATCCCCTTCAAATTCCACTTCGTCATCTTCCTCTAGCCCTTGGTTCGTTTACTCAAGCAGCGTCACCGGTTCAGCCTATGAACCCCTTCTGCTATAATATCTATTGTTAACGGACTAGCCTTCTAGTTTTTCTAGTTTCTCTTTGCATGTGTTAACTACCCAAGAAAGAGGTTGATTTACTTTATATCACAATTGAATTAAAATTCAGCTTTTGATTGTTTTTTACGTGTAGGTTGATCGTGGCATTCGATGGTAGATTTTGAACTTTCAACGTCCTAAGCGGTAACCGCAAGCGTAAACTTACTATCACTTTTCTTTTGTTATAGGAAGTCGAAAGTGGCATGTATATGGGATAGATGTTAAGTACATGTCTATGCTTGTTCTTTTGGTTTACTATGATCAAACTTAAGCTCTAAACATTATATTGTAACCGCACACCCTCACTTTTGCTTGATGTTTGTAATCACTATTTTTTATCCTAAATCAAAATATAAAATAATAATATAAAAAATATAGAAAATAAGAAAATAAAAGAATAAAAAAAGGAAAAAGGGTAATCCCTGAATATCCGGGGCATTCAATGCCCTGGTCACTGTTGTTGCACCATCCCCTGCCATCGTCACTGTGCCACCACTCCCTGCAAACTGCTCCAACAGTACCAAATCATTGATGTAATTTTTAATTTTTTATTGTTGTAATCGGTTTGTTATAAAACCCAAAGCAACCGAAATGTGAAAGGGGACTCCGAATTCAAAACAAAATAAAAAATAGAGATATTCAGGGTTCCTCGTTTTTTATTCAAAAAGCAATAAAAAATTTCTTCCCCGTTTTTTATCATTGGAAACAATCAATAGAAAGCATTTTTTATTATTTATTTTCGAAGCAAAAAAATGAAGAAGAAAAGAAAGAAAGTTTTTACCTCTCGGTCGGAGCCTCGCCGACGATCGAAAACACCATCGATGAATCCAAACGATTAAAGGAGGCATCGTATCCCTGGAAATAACATACTTCAAAGGTAGCTCGATCCAACAGCTGACGTCGGAGATCGGGGCAGTGGAAGTCGAGTGGTTCTCGGCTTATTTCATGGCATTGGGGGTCGTTTTTCACAAAATCGAGCTCGGATTTGTGACCACCGCGTCGAGGAGAGCAAGCCCATGAAATTTGGGCCAGAACAACCACCAGCGACTATGGCGGTACGGCGGGTGGCACACCCGTTGAATTCTGGGAAAGTTTAGAGATAATAGATAATTTCTCTCTATAAAAAAAAGAAAAAGAAAAATGATAGAAGAATGAAAAAAAAGGAGATAAAGGGTATTTATACCCAAAGCAAAACAACATCGTTTTGGTCTCCATGCCCGTGCGTTTTGGCTTCAATGGTATAATCACGAGCTCAGTCCTTGCCATTTCCTTCGTTTACAATTTGGTCACTTATTTTATGATTAATTTTTTATTTAGTTAGAATGCTTGTCCTTATTTCATAATTTTTCCATTTTATGTTCTAATGCTAATTTTTGGTTTATTTCCTTTCAGGTCCTCTTATATTTCGCTCGTTTTTACATATTAGTCAACGTTTATTTGCAACATTGCATGTTTTATTTTGCGTTTATTTCAATTTAGTCACTTGTTCAGTTTCTTTAATTAATCATTATTTAGCCCCTGAACATTATGTAAATTTGTAATTTAATCCTTAATTTTAATTGATTTATTGCAATTTAATCCTTAAATTATTCATTTCTATATTAGTCCCTAAGTTAATTTTTTCAGTTTTAGCCCTATATGATTAAAGCCCTTACATATTAGTCATTAGACTTTTACTTTTAACATGTTAGTCATTGAATCTTTTTATTATTTGATTTTGACATGTTGATTTTTATTATTTTTTATTTTAGTACTTGTTTGCTACGTTATTCCTTTGAAATTAGTTACTAATTTTTGTTTTGTTTCATTTTAGCCACTGATTGATTCTGCCTCTTTACTTTATTTTGAATCTGATGTCGTAGTTTCAATTTATGCATTTTGGTCACTGTTTACTTCTGATTTGATACTATTTTTATTTTTTATTTTATTACATTTTAGTCCTTTACTTAATGTTTTAATTTTAGCTTTGCATTTTTTTATTTTAATGTAGTCCTTTTTGTATTCATTAATTGCTTTTAGGTTTTGTCTTTAATTTCAATTTCTTTAATTTAGTCCCAATATTATATTTTAATTATTAAACCTTTTGATTTAGATTTTTAATATTAATCTAGATTACTTAGATTTTAGGTCTAGTCCTTAAATTTAGAATCCTTTAAATTTGGTCCCTAAACTTTTAATTTTAGGAGATTTTTCTATTTGGTAATCGCTTATGCCCGAGGTTCCGAATTAATTATTCGATAGTCCATAATTGATTAAAGTTGATTAAGATTAATATTAGAGCCTCCATCTTAGGCCTAATTTCATATTTAGTCATTAAATTAAGAGAATTCTTGATTTGGTCCTCGCTTTTGCTTGAGGTTCCAATTTAATTATTCGAATTGCAATAATGATTAAAATTAATTTAAGTTGATATTAGAACCTCCACTTTATATTAGATTTCAATATAGTCCTTTTAATTTATGGAGTAATATGAGTTGGCCCTAACCTAAATGCTCGAGGGACCATATTGATTATTTGATTCAATAACTGGTTAAGATCAAGTAGGATTAATATTAGAACCTACATATTTAGGTTTATGCCTCTAGGTTCTTTAATTCTTCATAATTTGATGCCTTAAGTTAGAAAAAGTATTAATCTACCCTTAGTTTGATTAGGGTCAATAAAAATTGTTTGATTGCATCTTATTTTAAAACCTAAGGTAATGTTCACTTATTAGGGAGTCAATAGTATATCTCCCGCAAGTATGCTCTGGGGGTGACTACTGGTGATTCCCGAAATAGGCCGACATCCTTTTCAAGCTCGCATCATGATTTTAAAATATTGAGGCAATATCCGGTTATTGGGCACAATAGTTGATCTCCCGCATTCATGCTAGGAGGCGAATGCTATTGGCTTTAGTAAACGAATACCCTTTTCAACTTTGCATCCGTAATGATTTTTAAATTAGGTAAAGTTCGAACTCAAAATTTTCGATTCTAAATATAGGGTAATCAACTAGGTACCAATTTTTTGGCGCTGTGGGAGTGCTAATCCTTCTCCACGCGTAACTGACTCTCGAACCTATTTTTTGGGTTTTGTAGACCCTAAAACTTGATATTTTTATAAAAATAAAATGTTTTATTAAAATTATCCGGTTTTTATGGTGTCTCAATCGCACCTTAAAATGGTTAGTGGCGACTCCTCACATTTCAAAATCTTTTCAAAGAAAAACTCCTAAGTCGTACTAAGTTTTTCCCCGCCCGGAAGAAACCAAACATGTTTAAATTATAAGAAAAAAATTTATACGATTTTTCATTCTGACGTATACATATAAAATATCCCTTGCCCAGTTATGTCTGCCAAATCGGCTAGGGGTGTTGCGGTTTTTTTTCGTTAGACACTTATCATTGTTTGAAACTTGAGGTAGAGTTTGAGTAGTATAGTTTAGCCATCGACAATATAAACGTAGTAGATGTAGCTCTTTGAACTCGAAACCTCTAGAGAGAATAATATTCCCTTTAGTTACTAAATTCAGGTTTAGTGGTGGTAAAATGAGCTCGAATTTAAAAATTTAATTAAAAATGGTTCAATATAAAGAAAATTGAATTAATTTAAGTTAATAAACTCACATATTAAGAAATTTTAACACAATAAGAAATTGAACTTGTGGTTGATTCGAATTTGAATTCAAATATAATGCTAAAAATAAAATAATAACTTATTATTAATTTTTTTTATAAGCTTGTTAATAGTGTGTGGTCTAGATTCTAATGGGTAATTAGTGGAGATAATTGATGATATTGTAAGGGTGTTGTTAGTAATTAAACAAGGGACTATTGATTAATTAAACCAGTGATGGAATTAGTCCTTATCTCTTACCATTACCATTAGATTTCATCAAATTCCATTGATAGTAACTTAGAATCAATACGAAAGAGTAATTTTATAAAATTCTTGTCAAAGAAGGAGAATTAAGGAGGTGTTTTGGCTATGGTGTTTGTAACATCTCGACTTCTACCCAGTTGCAATCGAAACTTAAATTAATTCGAAGTAATCGAACGTTCACACAATTTACATTCATCAATTTAAGAACTAAATTATCATTTATAATATTTAGAAGGGTTCCAAAGCAATTAAAATAATATAGACAGTCTTGGGTTTTTCCATGTAAAAGAAAATAATTTTTTCTTTTGATAAGTAATGAGCTGATTTGATGCACTTGAACGATAACTACGTCAGTAAAATTTTATGGTTGAGTTAGGTCGAGTCGAGTCGGACAACAATGGAGTTAATTAATTAACAACACGGCAATTCTTCCGAATCTGGCCATCGGTCCCGGTCAGTACCCCTAAGCTTCCCATTTTCAGCATCGAATCCTTGAAGTCCTCGAAGAAGTCCAAAGGGTTCTCGGCATAGGAGAGTACCAGTTGTCGAGTTTGATAATCATCCGTGACGAGCGCCTGGTCGGACGGCAGCAATCCCTCCCCAGAAAGAAGTTTAACATAATACTGGTTGTCGAAAGTCGCGGGGCTGACAAGATCGAGCTGCGCAAGCCTCGAGTTCCCGTCCGCTTGAGAGCACAGCTGCTGCAGGTTTTGAACGAAATCGACGTTGATATCCGGACCATTTGAGCCCTGAAGCCGTGTGCTGAACGTCGAACATCGAGCCATCCCCAACGTGTGTGCACCTGCAACAAATGCCAATGGTTTCATGCTCATTTATGCACTTTAAAACATCTGAGACATGTAAGAAAAAACACAGTACCGGAAAGCACAATCATGTCACTTAACGAGAGTCCAACGTTTCGGAACTTGGCGACAAGTGTTGGCACTGTCGAATTTGGGCCTGGAATGTTGTTTGCTGCTGCTTCTTTACTAGCAATCAAGCTGTCTTTTCTCCCCATTTCCACTTCCCAACTTGGTCCCCCTGACTGAATACTCGAATATATGTTCGATCCGGATTCGTGTTAGATACGAATATATTCGATATAAATGGTTTCGATGTCTAAAAAAGTATTCTTATGTGTGTGCAATATGCATGAACTCACGATAACAACAGTCTCTGGCAGCAGTTGCAAGAATATCCGCACAAAAAACAGTCCGAGGGCAAACGGATTCGAGCTCCGATTTAATAGCGTCGATAACTTCGAATCCCCTCAGCGAATTCAAGTTTGGCGGCGCGGTTTTCTCGCCGACGAGATCCTCGGTGTCATCCAACAACACCGAACCATCACAACCCTGCAAAGTCACAACATCCAACGTCAATCACACATACACATATTATTGTAGGACTCGTGGAAATGGAGAAGAAGCAACGAAGCCGCCATCCAGCGTCTTGGGACACCGCATTTTCGACGAAGGAGAAGATGATGGATTCGGCCTCGGGGCAGCTGTTTAGATACAAGTCGATCTGCAACACTATGGTAATGTCGTCCACGCATGTTTCGTTCATGGCGCCAGCCACAGTAATGGAAAGCATTACCATGCATAGACATAAAATCAAACACTTGGTCATCTTTCTATAATTCTATTCTTTTACCACTTACAGACTGCAGCTTAAGTGTATATATATATAATGGAAGGGGTCAAGTTTGTGTATTTCGTCATTAGAGTAACAATATGATACCTAACGCCATGTGCTGCTGCAGATTGAAGATTTTGAAGTATCAAGAGCAGTGATTTAAACTATTGTCGCGACCGTGTTTTCGGTTACGTTGTGTTTATAGCGATTTCGAATATAACGAATGTAATTGCTATCACTACAGGTATCGTAATCGTACAATAACGGTTTTAAACGATGCCATTACTAGTATATAACGGCTATTATTCTGATACCGGATCGATACGTGATAAGAGAAGCTGTGGCTAATCTGCCATTTTTGAATTAGTAGTGTTGGGCTTTGAAGTGGACCCAGAAAAGTTAACAGAGAATATTTTGTGTTCTCAATCCTCATCATGGACACAAGCAGTGTGGCTAAGTTTAAGGAAATATTAAAAACAGCCCATGCAACATATATGAATATGTGATGGATTGAAATTAATGAGGGGTACCGGTAATTAAAAATATGTATATTATTTTTTAAATGATTAAAATTTAAGTAGTTATGTAAATTAAAAAATAATTTAAACAAATATTATCTTACAATCACACTAAACTAATAAAAATGAATATAATATGGGCTTATGGTGTATAATTATTAAATAAAATAACATAAAATTTTAAATATACGTAAAAGATTACAGAGATCTAAAAAAGTGAAGAAAAAATAAAAAAGAATCTTTTTTGATAAAAAATATTATAAATATCTAAAAGTGAAAAAAAAGAATTATAAAAAAAATAATAAAAATTACTCCCTCCGTCCCCCTAATTTTATTCATTATGAACTTTTTAAAATTTTTTAAAATTTTACCATAATTATTTTAAATACTTTAAAAATTAAATTTTATAAAATATATATTTAAAACCTATTTCATTGAAGGTATTTAAAATATATTTTTATATTTTTATTAATATTAAATTTTTAAAAAATAATGAATCAAAGTTAAAACAATTGACAAAAAAAGTTAATAAAAGACAAATTTAATGGGATAGAGAGAGTATACTATAACATGAGTGATAGCTGCTCGATCAAATGTTAGCAGTATCACCCTCTTAAATAATTAAAAAAATTAAAAACTAAAAAGAAGAAGAAAACCAATAAAAATCAACATTTTTAAATAAGTATCAAACACCAACATGAATACAACATTTAAAATAAATTCAACATGATATGTGTGTAGAGGTGGCAAATGAGTCGTTTGGATTAGGTTTGGTTCGGTCATTTCATTTTAGAATTAATTCGGACTAGGTTTGGGTCGGATCGGGTCATTTCGAGTTTCGATTTTATTAGGGTATATAGTAAGTCGGGTCGTGTCGGGTTTGGTATCGGGTCAGGTCCGATATCGGGTTGGGTTAAATCGGATCAGGTTAATATATGATCAATTATTTTCGGTTTGGGTCAACTTTGGATGTTCAGGTCAATTCAGGTTGAGTTGGGTATAAGTCAAATCAAGTATATATTGAATTATTGATATAGTTTTTAAAAAAGATTGAGTTTGGGCAAATTAAATTCAGATTAATTTCGATTCAGGTTATTTTTGGTTCGCTTGTTTTCGGTTCGGGTTACTTTCGGTTTGGCTAAAATTCGTGTCAGTTTTGGTTCGATTCGATTTTTTCGGTTTTGGGTCAAGTTTGGGTCATCATGTTCGGGTCTATTTCGGATCACGATTTGGATATATCGATTCGGGTAGTCGGGTTCGGGTCAAATTTACCATGTATATATGAGTGTTTGAATATCTCAAAATCTATATGATAAATATTTTTAAAAAATAAATTTATACAAATACAAAATAAAATAAAATGAATTGTGATTATAACAAGATAAAATTCATAAGTAATTGGATTTATAATTATAAAGTTCATAATTATCACATTTTTGTTTTAAAAATTTTGATCCCTTACAACTCAAGACAGCATCTAAGTGCTCAAAATTCAAAAAGACAACTCAAATTTATTCTTCTGAAATATATATATATATATATATTATTTTGAAAATTGGATGACAAGATTGGATGCTCAACCTCATCTACATGTATACACCCCCATATGCCTCTACAGAAATTAATATACCTTCTTTTTTCTTTATCGAATTCTAAGAGTATATATAATATATATATATATAATCTCTTAACTAAATAAACATGTTAAATTGTATTTGAACTTATAATTTTTAAATTATTACAACAATAACGATGATGATTCAGTTAAAACTCGATTAATATTCTAATTTGTATAAAAATATTTGAGTATATTACTATTAACCTCAAACAAGAGATTTTTGAGTTCGGAATTTAGTTCAATTGGTTATGTAATAGATTGTATGTGGTAATATTCTAGAAATTTAATATTTGTATTTTTTTTTTTTAATTTTCATATTGAAATCTCACAGAATATGAGAAACTTTTTTTTTTCTTTCCTACCTTTCTAGTTCGATTAATTATAGCGGTTACAATAGAAAGTTTCTTTTTTTTTCTTAGGAAACAAACAAGACTTAGATTTCTATCTTTTCAACTTTCCAACAATGTCTGAGCAAACCCTATTGAGCCCACCAGCTAAGGAAGTGTTCATAAACACGAGGCAAAAGAGAAAAAAATATATATAAAAGGAATCCTATCCCTTCTTCCTTGCGACGTTGAGTAAACTAGTGACCAACCTATGTTTACACTTAACAATGAACAAGTACATAGATTCGACTGGTTTTGGTTTAATCATGTGAGATTAATTTTTTTAAAAAAAGATTTAGGTTCAGATCAGAATAGGTTAGATATTTTAAAGATAAAGTCGAGTCGAATCGAAATCGAGTTTAGGGTGAAAATCTATGACCTAGTCTGGATAATAATATAATCATATCCCTTATATATTTAAAGATAATTAAAAAAAATTTCTCTTTATATTTTACAATCAGGTCCCTATTTTATCAAATAAAAATGAGACCTCTATGCATGTTGTTGAACCGGGACAAATTTTAGGTCAAGTGAAGTCTTCTTAATTTTGGATTGATTCGAGTGACCGATGAAAGAATATAATACTCATATCAAATGTGATCAACCAAGAATCTAACTCAACTCGACCATGCCAACCCTTTTTACACCATATATAAGGGATCCACAAAAATATGATATTTTATCTTTTATATTTAATATTTTAGTAATCTAATTGTTAAATTTATTTTATATAATTATTGGTATACGATTTATTGATCAATTTATTCATATTGAGTATTAAAATGACTTATTATAAGAATGACTCACCATAGTTTAGGCTATGCTTGGAATGGAGGATAAAGGAGTAAGCATAACTTTTTTTTGTTAATTTAATGGTTAAGCTGCAACGTAAAAGAATGATTATGAATCTTAATTATTTAATTTATAAATTATTCATCTTCTATACTACTAATTAAGAGAATTAATGTTTTAACTTTTTTACATTCATCAAATGATTTCGTAATTTTTGTTTTTTTTAATAGTCTGGGGGATTATAAGATAATATATATTTATAATCTTTCTTAGTCACTGACAATACACACACTCTGTAGATACAATTGCTCATACTTAGGAATTCTACGGAAAATAACACTCCCCTTAATCACTGATATCTTTACATGAATTTTATTTTGATCTCTTTAAATCAACATACACGATTAATTAATATGAATAAAATATGATATATGACGTTGAAATTATTAAAAAAATATAATATTAAAAGTGGGTATATATATATAGTGTCACATTATTCATGCCAGCTTGTGTATACAAAAATCTTCCAAAGTGGATCCCCACATTAGAAGAACTTAAACAAAAGATACTAAGAATACCCTTTGGTAAAGAAAGAAAAAAGAGACGTTTTATAGCACTCACGTACCTTATCTTCATTCATACATGATATATATTATATACACAATTGATATGCTATGTCGATTGAATTTAGTTTGGCTAACTACTTCTAAAAGATTAAATATGGTTGAGTGTAATTATTTATGATTCGAAATCAGTGGCGGATGCACTCATGGTTGAGCGTAAGCACGTGTCCACCCTGAAATCCAGATTTTCTTTGATTAACAATTTATTTGATCGATGGTGTCCACCCTGAAATCTAAATTTTATTCGATTAGTGACCCATTTTATTGATGGTTTCCGCCCTGAAATTTTATTTATTCTCACCTAATTAAAAAAATTTATATTGTTAACATATATGTGTCTACTCTCAAAATATTTTTAGATCCGCTACTAATTTAAAGATTCGAAGAGATTATGTTAATTTAAGTATTGTATAAAAAAATCTATCATATTATAAATGTATCTACAGATCAATTGGATTAAGTCCAAATAATAGAGGAACTGTTTTGTTTATTTGAGATATTTCGCTATTTGTAATATTTAATATAAATAAATTACATTAATATCGATTGTTTTTCAATGACAATACCATGTTTTGTACCAATAATGTTGAGTGTAATGGTAAGACATGTTGCACTCATAAAAGGAAAACCCCATATTATTGGGAAGGACAATACACCCTAAACATAAATCGTAAAAAAAAACATAAAAATACTGTACTAATCTATATATATTATATAGTGCAATTCCTTGAGTTATATCTATATATAATACAAATACACG